TAAGCGTCATCTACCAAAACATAAAATGAAAGGTTGTAGAAGCTTTCGAAATGAGAGCGCAAAGGGTTCACTGTGAAACATTGAGCCAAACAGTATTGAATAGGTGATAAAGTACGCAGAAAACAACTAGACTGTGGCAGCACTCAGTCAGTAGCTACAGTATGCAGTGCACGCTCTGCAGGATTCCTCAACAGCTTAGTTTCTGCTGATTAATCTCAATTGGAAATGTTTCCACACCCTCTGGTTTTCACACCCAATCATTCCATTTGTGTATCTTTGGCTTCAGAACATAATATGTGTGTTTCTCGGGTTGTACCTTTCCACTATGCGCTCCAAGGTGAGGTTGCGCAGACAGTCAGTAAGGCCTTTCTCTCCCAGCTCTACATCTTGGCCGCAGGGGACGCAGGGGAACATCATCACCAGGGGGGGGGCCTCCTTACGCCGTCGCCCTTGATACGTGCCATAGCCCGGAGACCGGGGCATGGATGGCGAAGGCAGGTGGGGACCTCAAACCAAACAGAAAATCCAGTTATGATCAGCAGGAGACAGAAAATGACAGGATAGCTTTTCCTTACATAGATATTTTGATCATTGACTTAGAGTAACATCAAGATTGGGTTTAGGTGTAAATAGAATAATTTGCATGTCAATCCAAAGGGCCTCCATTTTTATCCAAAGAAGACATAAATGTCCCCTCAAGAGATTTGATTAAAATGACGAATGACAAAGTACTTCCTACCTGAGCGCAGCACGCGGTCAATAGGTCGCTGCTCAGATTTAGGTGTAGGCCTTCGAACCTGACGCGGTGAGCGGGTGTTGGGTGTTGAGGCGGGGGAGTTGGGCTCCGGGGGAAGATCTGGGGGCGGATAGCCGTTTGCCACCAACACCTCTGAGGCACACATGAGGCAGACGCTGTGCTGGCATGGAAGCACCACGGGCTGTTTGACTATGTCCTTACACACACTGCAATGCAACTCCTGCTCAAGGCTCTTCATGTTAGACTGTGAGGCACAGAGGAGAGAGATTAGGGTATGCACACATAAGAACACAAATGTGCATAAACAGCTTTTGAGTGGACATGTAACACTTGCATTTGTTAATACTAATGCTGAAATAATACCTCAATTCTTTTTTATGATAGCAAAACCTTCTTTTTAGCACCTAACTGTGAGATATGTTTTCTTGTTTGTTTTTTCAAAAACCCCTTATAAAAGTAGCCAAAGATTTCAAATGTAACATTTTATCTCAACACAAGCATATAATAACTTAAGTCCAAGATTTGCAACACTTTCATTTGACTAAGAAAATATCTAATAAAAAAAGTCAAGCCGAAACTCAATACCAGTTTTCTGAACAGTCAGAACACCTTTCAGTCTGTAGCCTACTTCTGAGGAGATTCAGCATCATAGGAAATGAATTGAGAGAGAGTGAGGGACCGGGCAATGTGAAAAGCTATCAAAGACATGTGACATAGGCCATCATTCTTGTTAAATATGGATAAAGACCAGTCATTAATTATTCAACCACTGCACAGATTGCATCCCTTAAATTGCAGCACTGCATATGAACATGAACTCTTTAGCCAGTTGTCGCTTATGCTTTTGTATAATCATGAGATGTTGCAGCCTTTTCCTGACTTTATGACATTTAAAACAAAAAAAATCCTTTTAGAGGTAAATGTGGCATTTTGGTAAATGGGACAACATTCACAGTGCATTAGAATGTTCACTGAGAATACTTTAAACTGTTTAGGTCATTTGATCGCTATTCACCATATAATCCAGAGCTGATTGGTTTCTTGTATTTAGAGGAGTGCTGCACAAGAATACCTCAATGCTGAACCAGCACCTTGTAAGCACAGTGGCCCAAGCTGGAGATGGTGGGGGTGTGAAAGCCACCCCACTGGAGCAGTTGGCGTGTCATAGGCCTGCTGCTCAAGGACACGGGTTTGACTGAAAAGGACACACTGGCTGCACAGACCCACAGCTACAGTGTCACCACACGAATATACTGCCTCAATGAGAAGGACCTGTTCCCTTATCCATACCCTAGTATGTGTGATAAATGCTCTAGTTTTTTTGTGTTCAGTCAGCATTTGTTAGTGCAGCACACAGGAGGAGTATTACACTTTCTGTCATATTGCTACAGAATGGCCTGCTGGCTTTGTGGATGCCTTTGAAATGCAACCTCAACCTTAAACTGTTGCAGTGTAAGCTGCAAAACATGAACATCACTGACACTGTGAGTTAACTTCAAAAACAGGACAAGACAAACTGCCTGCTGCATTGGGGGTTTGGGGATTTGGTCACTTTGGTGTGATAAGATAGCATCGGGACAGCTTAGCACACCGGAGACCACTGTTAAAACCACTGAGTCTGGGGGTGTGGATGCAGAAGCAGTAGGGATTAAATACAGGGGATCACTATATTCCTGCATGATCTCTTGATTTTATTAAGCACTCACATGATGTTAACACAGTTATTATATAAAAAAAATAGATTGATGAAAGCTAAATAGTCCAATAAAATAACTGCTACACGTTTTCAGATGACCCAGAAAGAGGCTACAGCAGCATGGTAAAAAATGATAGACCCATTCTGAAACGTTACATTGGATTAATTGGATAAATCAAAAATAACCTACTTTCTCCATCAGCCCACCTCAGTCTCTCTGTGTCATTCTCCAATGTCAACTCCGGCCTGCCCTTCTCTCATCCACTAGCAAATGTAGCGTATTTCTTTTTCAGGATATTGCAATTCCAGCTGGCTATGTACACCACGCGAGCCTGTGGCCCCGCTGTATCCATCTTAAACGGATAGTGCGCATTGCTAAAGCTGAGCCCAGCGAGGTGGAGGCGTAAAACAGGCGATGCGACAGGGCATCCTTACCTTCACCTGGAATCTAGGCGCCATAGCAGTAGACTACGTGTATATATGCAGCATCAAGAGAGCGCTGTCTCTGGGAAATAGGGGAGGGGTTTGAGGCATCGCGAGGAATGAGCAAGAAAGATGGGGTCTAGATGAGAGGCTGGTGGCAGCAGCAGCAAAAGATGCTGTACATTATATCCCAAATTGTTGGTGAAGGCAACGTTAACATGCATCTAGTCAGCCCACAATGGTGTATTGTAACCATCTCTGTTTTGTTTTAACCCTATACCGGCTGGTGCAGCCACACAACCAGATGTCCTGCATCCCGTCTCCATGGAAACCCGTTCACCCCCCCACCCCCCAAAAAAATAAAATTTGTAATTTGTGGCTGCAACCACACTGTTTTTGCATTTGATGATGTTTAAAACAACCTTGTTTCAAATTGTAGAAAGAGCATTGTTTTTCTGACATTTCAGAGGAGGAGTTCAGTCTGGTGTACCGAGGCATTTTTAGGAACATTAACAGCATCACTAGCCTGCATAACGAAATATTTTACAATTCCATGATAGAAAATGAATTCAGATTATCTAAGCAATGTTTTTTTTTTATAATCTTGGTAAAGAAAATGATATGAAGGCCCATTCACATACATTGTCCGCAGTTGAAACATTGAGACAGCCTACAACCAGTTAAGTCTGTTCTCTATTCATAAATGCATGTATTTTAATAAGAGTAAAGAAGAATATTATGTAAAAATACATCCATTGACAGCAGAACATGGATACTCACACTCATACGAACCAATACCTCCATCGTTGTTGTTTTAAAATCCATCTCTGCCATTTTCTGAAAATAGCCACCTCCTGATTTCATCATCTGGATATAAAACGCGATGTATCTATTCCATACACCACAAGGTACATATCAAAACACTCAAGGCTAATATGCAACCTTTGTGGATAGCACAATCTATGCCGGTATACCGTTTAGTAAATCCTTCGTTTTCTGGTGATTCTTCAAAAGAGACTCGGTCTGCGCGTTTTTACGCACGCAAAAAAACGCTGGAGCATCAACCTATGTTGGGCTGTCGAAACAGATATTGTAATAGAAAGACAACGATTTCTGTATTGGTTGTTAACGTCAATGTACATTCACACTTACAGATGCCTGTGGCTTATTTCTTCACCCAGACATCCCGCCCCCCACCCTTCCCTTCCCATCCCGCACCGGATGCCTTCAAATGATGTGGCACAGCAGGGTAGAAGCTTGATGTCATAGGAGGGGAGAAACGGTCTGCATCCTCAATTATAAAACAAATATACATTTATATAATATCTTTCTGTTTCCTCAGGACAACACCTCCGACCATTCATTTAAAGGCTGCGTTAAACGTTGCAGGATACTCAGAAAATATGGTAAAATTAGACATATAGGTCACAATGTTTTGTATAACTGTTATAACAGAAAGTGTAATTACATAAAGGGGAATTGGCCTGTTTTGTCAGCCGTGAAAAAAAGACATTCAGTTCCTCTACTTATTTAGTGTATTTATAATATTAAAAGCGAGACATGTCATTATTCTATTATGTTCTTTTCACTAATTTTGGAATAAACAACATTTCCGAGTCACAGTATTAATTCCACGAACATGGAAATACCCAAATCAAATAGAAATATTTAAAAAATGTCAAATGTAGTAAACTACTTACACCACTTTGTATTATGTGATGTTAAAACTAGTTATGTCATCCCCATTCCCTCCCATACACTTCTCCTCTGCTGGAGGGTCATATAGTGTAGAACACAATGAGACACTAAATCTTCTTTTGAATTAATTCTGTAAAGTGTTGGGGTCTCTCGTGATAGAAATAAAAATAACGTCTATTTTAATTGCTTGAAATTCTACTTGTATTCATCATCCCCACTATTTGCAAAATCCACCTGCCTGTTATTACAAGCTGGCATTACATCACACTCCCCAATGTTGTTGCTGCTGGCTGGGTCAGTTACAAGCAGAGCGACTAAACAGAGCATTTAATATATAAAAACGTTTTTTTATACAGGTAGGAACTACTGGAAGTTGTATCAATCGGAATCCTATTAAAAAAAGAATTAAAAAAACTAAACAAGTAGTAATACTGGAACAAAAACACTTTTATTATTGTAAGGTGAAATCACATTTGTCAGAAAGTACTGAAAAAGTATTAGCCATGTTCATAAACGGTCATTTGTTTTATTTCTTCTCCTGCTCATGTTTTTTTTGGGCTTCCTCCAAAGTGTCATGGCTGGCACAAGCACAACCGCAAACCATTTTGGAGAACTCTTCAAAGTCCACGAACCCGTCGTTGTCAAGGTCCACTTTGCTGAACATGTCACAATTGTTCTTAGCTGCCACTTGCTAGAATGAAAAAAATGAATATATTCATTAAAAAGAATAGAAAGAGTAATTAAGTAAATGCCTGTAGAACAAGACGCAGTGTACACAACACAAATAAAATGACTCCCCTCACCGCAAAGAAAGGCAGTTCCTCCTTCAACACTCTCAAAAAAGTATCCTTGTCCATTTTTCCATTTTCATTTTTGTTCCCGTCGAAGACAGCATACATGGAAACCAGAGAGATTTCCAATCCAGTTAGGTTCATGCACTCTTCCATTTCCAGAGGGTAGATGATCTGAACATATAATAGAAAAACATCAATAACAATGACAATCATTGTCATAATGTTACAAAAATATTAACAGGATGGAGAATAGGAATGGAGACTGAGTCATCCACAAACCAAAGTCAAAAAATATTTTTTAACACATTTTTTGCATTTCTCTAAAATATTTTTGTACACACCTGTCAAAATGTTAGGCAGCCTTACTGAAGTTAGTACCTGAAATCACAACCATACACTTAAAACATTTTTTTATCAACATGTTGCTGGTTGCAGTTTGAGATAAAATCACCAACGAGTCAAGCATCAAAACAGGTATAACGTTTACGGAGAAAACCCTGCTGTAAAAGAAAATATACACCTGAATGCATTGATACAACCGTTCCTACCTGAGAGATGAGTCGACACGGTGAAGAGAGCGCCGTCTGCAGGGTTTAAATATAGGAGCACATGGGGACGCTCCCTGGCTCTGCCACACCTTGGTGTTTAAGGAATCCTGTCGAACAAGGCCTAATGCTGCTAAACACTCATTTAATAGCATTAAACTTCACCAGGAATGTGAACACTGTTCATATTGCATTAGTTAATTAAGATGTTTGATGTTTTCCCTATATCAGAACCAGATAAACCACAATACTGTTTTAACAAAGGAAGGGTGAATCTGATTAAGCCACAGCAGACATTTAGGGATGCCATTTAGGAAACATTGCATTCATTCTGTAATAAATCATACTCTCCTGCAGTATCATAACCAGGCTGCACATCATGTGGAAATGCATGAAAGAAAGCACTGTGAGTGCAGGGGAAGTGCAAACTTCGGGGAATCTTATGTGCAGTCTGAATTTCACCGCTCAACAAACACCGTCACAGATGCATGCAATGGATGCAAAGAAACACGTTGTTACAATTTATCTGTGACCTTAACTTGGTCTACTTTGGCCATGACATAAACAGAAAATATATTTTCCAGGCAAACCCAAGTTTAAGGTATGGCGTTTGAAATGTATGGAGAAATGGTTACACCTGAACCAGTCACTGCGTTGTCAAGTAAACTGAGAAAACACACATTTTTTTCTGCTTTCAAAAAAATGTGGTTCTATAAAAGGTACATTTCCCTTAGAGTAGAAGTATAATGTAGCGTTAAAATGACAATACTCCAATAAAGTACAAGTAGGCCCACCTCCATTGACAGGATTTGAGTAATTAAATACTTTCAGTCACAATAGCTTACATAACAGAGGAAGAACAGCAGCTCTGGTATTGTTGTTTATTTTCTGGGCAGCAATCCATTAACCATGAAGTTTGGCTACAGTAGAAACTAAATGCAGACCCTCAGGCACATATCAGTTCATTAATCCACAAGATGACACACACACACACACACACACACACACACACACACACACACACACACACACACACACACACACACACACACACACACACACACACACACACAACTTTTACTACTGCTGTACATTGATCTGACATTTTATTTTTCAGATGAGGAATTTACATAAATGCTGATTTTTGGATGGCAAAAAGTAAATTATGTTACAATAAACAAATTAAATTAGCTATATGTTGAACAGCAATGCCATTGTTGCATGTACAATAATGCGTCCCTGATAATCCAACATTAGAATATATAGAAAAATAACATCGCCATATTTTTGATGTTTCAAGTAAACCTACGGATAAATAACTGTTTATGTACTTACTTTATGAATGCAGAACTGTTCTTTTGAATGGAGGATTTTTATGTTTCAGTATGTTTTTACTTTAACTTGTATCTGGATACTTTTACCACTTTTAATAATCTTTTCTTTTTTAAACAATCCATTGCTCAGTCTGTTCATGGGCATGACAGGAATAATGCAGACTTCTTTGATGAAGAACACAGAGCTTTATCTGTGTGTGTAATACCGTGTTTCAACCACAAGAGGGGCTGCAATTCATCTAATAAAACGAGCAAACAGTGAGGTTTTAGTCAAGGGTCGAAGAAGTACACAAATCTTTTACTTCAGTAAAGGTAGCAATAACAGTGCAGAAATATGAATACTGTTGGAAGTAAAAGGTATGCATTTAAGTTCACTTAAGTAAAAGTAACTAATTGGCATAACAATTAACTTAAATAACCAAAAGTAAAAGTACTCATTTTGGATAATAGCTCCTTGCATGTAAATGTTTATAAAGTTATTGGATTAAGATTTGGGAGAAGTGTGGGATTTGGTAATATATACATGTATTTGTTTAAGTTTGAAGATTTCAGCATACAATATCAGTACTGTGCAAGATGTTATAAAGTGGCAGAAAATGTTAATATTATGAGATAGTTAAGTAAGCAGGCAACCTGATGTACTTGGAAACAAAATGGAAACAACATTTCGTAATAGAAGAGAGGTGAAAAGTAAAAAATATATATTTTAATAATTGTCTGCATGCTCAAATTCCACGAGATAAATGCTTTAAAGCAATTCATAAAGATAAACACACAAAAAAAAACACTGTACATTTAGAAGAGCTTTTGACTTCAGCCCAAAGTCTACGCCACTCATAGAGAACAGACTTAACAGTAATTTATGATTTGTATTGATTGCTGTGAGTAACTCAGAGACAGTTGTTGTGTGGGAAAATTCTATTGACTGGCTAACCTGCTGATTACATTACGCCCCATTCATCATTTCCTGTTGACATCAGTCCAAAAGGCTTATCTGTAAGAAAGCCTCTTCATAGTGGCTCATTAACCTGTTTATTTTGCAATGATGTAATTCCACATTAGTCTAAGAACAAAATCTGTGCATAGTATGATGATGGAAGTAACTAAGTACATTTACTCAAGTACTGTAATTAAGTACACATTTGAGGTACTTAAGTACAGTACTTGACCCAAGTATTTTGTTACTTTATACTTCTGCTCTCAGTGCTCTACTACATTTTGTAGATCAATTTTGTACTTTTAGTGCACTACATGTTTCTTGTCAGATGTATTTACTAGTTAAAATCTTATAAAAATGTGATTATTTGGTATATATTAAACCATCAAACATTATATTTAATCAACTAACACCATGAGTGAATTAATCGAAAATAAATTAGCAGCAATTCTGAAGTTTTTTGTTAAAAATGTGTCAAAGTTCCAGCTTCTTAGATTTGCTACTTTGACTTAAAACATTTAAAAATATTTTTTTTTCCCAGAAATTATTACTCCCAATACTTTAAATTCATTTTCCTAATCTTACATTGTACTTTTACTATAGCACCACTCTTGATGCAGTAGGCCTACTTTTACTTGAAATGAAGCTTGTTGACAGTGCGGTACTCAAGTAAAGAATCTTGATACTTTTTATACCATTGTATGCAGTATGTAAAGTGCCAGGAACGGACTTTTTAAAATAGCACAAGAACGTTTCATTTGTAAGACGATTTATTGATTATTGTTCGCATTATAGTCGCATTTTCTCTATACAGTCTGAAGAGATCCGTCTATGTGTAGCATATCTATTTAAGTCCCTTTTCATAACTAAACTGTAATCTCATAAGGAATTAGAAGTTGTTCCAACAACTCCAAGACAGTAATATAAAGTGTGTTTCTAGAGTTACCGCCCACCACCGTGTGCCCGTTCTCACTTCTCTTCACGGGTCCAGTGTCCACTGCAGGTTGACTCACAGCAGCAGGGCGTCGCCTCACTATAAAACCTCTGCTACACATTTTTCGCAACCTCTGAACATTCCCACCTCTCCTCCGCCGACCACGTCTCAGCTCTGACGGTAAGAACTAACGGAAATTAACGGACTTGTCTGACTTTGCTTTGCTTAGCTTTGTAAGGATTTTCACAGCAGGAAATAACGGTAGGGTGGGGAAGAAATAGATTTAGTTTAGTTCATTTTATCTGTAAAAGTTGTTTTCTGTAGTGAAGTATTTATAAAGAAGAAGTTTTTACTTTATCAAAACATTTTTTTACATCTTTTAAAAAGTTATATAAGAATTATAGAAGATTGGTTATTACAGTAAGCACACGCTAACTATTTTTCCTCAAGTTGATCACAATTGACTCCAGTGGAATGTCTCTTTCTTGTTATCTTAACACAGTTGAGTCCATGTATATCATATGGGTACACAGCAAAGGGTGTGGTTGGACTATGTGGGCTTGTACACACATGTACTCCGCTGCCATAGTTTGCTGCATCAACAGCTCTTTGACTATGCACATTTCCCCCCTCATTCAGCTAGACTTTTTCATTCCCTCTAACACAAATAACACCCAACCCCTGTTTGCCCTCCCATTTCTGCTTTTTAACTGTTTACATTCTACAGTGCACAGAATGGATTGAGATTTGTGGTTGATGTTGTAATTTTTCATGCCAGTGGCCATTTTAGCACTAATAACAGACCTCTCACTTCCCATAAGTAGTACTCATCAATGGGAAGGGCGTTGGGAAAAAAAGAAAATTACTTTCTCAGCTAGATCCCCTAATGGAGCTCAGGCTTACCGGAGGAGGGAGATTGTTGTTTACATGTCAATATAGCATTTGTTTCATGTTTCATTCCCCCATGCCCGTTAACATCCTCAGATAAGCTCATCAGTAAACCATGTTCTTGTAAAAGAGCATTTTGATTAGTTCATTATCAAGTATCACTGCCATTTTTTCATGAAAGTTCTTTAAGGTCTTGTTTTAAAGTTTCCCTAAGAAGATAAACTCAAATAGTTGATCATATCATCAATTCATTGTCTATTTGAACTCTGTTTTCTAGTCTTAAAGAACGAAAGCAACCATGCCTTCTGAACTGGAAACAGCCATGGAGTCCCTCATCAAGGTGTTCCACCGCTACGCCTCTAAGGATGGGAGATCCGGCACACTGAGCCGTCGAGAGCTCAGAGAGTTGATGGAGAACGAACTGTCCAACTTCCTCCTGGTGAGTGGAGACTGACATGTAGAGTGCATCATGTCCAGAATTCATTTATAATATCATATATCACATAGCTTTCTTGTTGATGCCCAACTAACATATTTCTTCTTCAACCCAGTCCCAGAAGGACCCTGCTGCTATTGACAAAATCATGAAGGACCTGGACACCAACGGTGATGGCCAGGTGGACTTTGAGGAGTTTGTTTCTCTGGTTGTTGGACTTTCCATTGCCTGTGAGCAATGCTATCAGACGCACATGAAGAAGCAGGGGAAGAAGTAAACAACAACAGCGGAAGAAAGGAAAAGAAACCAAAAAGCATTTCAAGTTTTGTAAAGATAGTTTTGTTCATTAAATATACTGAAGAATTTCAAACCTGTCAAGTCTGGTGGTTATTAAATGCACAAGTTACTGTACACTTTGACACATGTGTTTGCCTCCAAGTTATCATAAATCTATTTAATTTAATCATAAAAGCACTTTCCATAATGGCTACAATCCCTTGGGAACTATGGCACTGACAATAGATGTTATAATGCCATTCCCACCTGTACTTTATGGCTTCCTGTGTGTGAAGTGCAGACGAACCTCTCCCTCTCTGTTTGATAAAGTCCTGCTTATCGCTGCTCTGAGGAATCTGCAGAATGTTCCAGTAATTAACACTCCTCTCTGTAAAGCTGATGTTGCAACTCTCTAAACTATGATAAATTCATGAACAGATAAAACAGCAGACACTGATAAAACATATTTATATATCCTGCTGGATCCATTTATTTAGTGAAACTTCTTTTTCCTGATTATTTTTCTTTTTGAAGCTAAAAAACATAATCTACAAGTGAAAAAAGTACTGAATCATGTAGATCAAGCAAGACTAGTGTAGTTGAGAAGATAATTCCACATACAGTTGTCAGTTATACCTCCAGTTTCTAATAAGATCAAATATAGAATAAGAATACAGATACAGCATTGTTAAAACATTTATCGTGTCAGTGTTGCAACAGTTGATACTTGATGGGAATGAGAGATATTTCTCCGCCCAAACCCTTAATCAAACAGCCTTTGTCTTTTAAAAAGCCGCTATGTGATTTAGTGTGACCCTAAACACTCATTGTTCCCGAATCCCACGGCTTCTCCCACGTTGTAATTATATAAAAGAGTAAATAAAACAAGACAGTGTGTCTGTTGTGTCTCCAAGGAGATTAGTGGGGATTACGCAAATGCATCCTGTTACGGAAAGAATGCACAATATCTTTGCAGATGAATTTAAAACTATATTTATATGTGTCACACAAACGTTTTTATGTTAATATCACATATTTAACCATGATACATATACATCCACTTATGTATATTTTCTTCTATACTAGTGAAAGGTGCGTTTTGTGTTGTTGCATTCTAGTCAAGTCTGAGCACGACATTTCGACTGCTGAATCACATGGCACAGTGGGTCATGCACCAAATTATTTTCATTGTGTTTCAAGTCACTCATGTAAAAGCAAAACTGGCTAAAACTATCGCAATATTGGGAAAAGCCAGACACATTCTGGACTATAACTCATTGTATACTCTATATAACACACTCATATTGCCATATCTGATTTACTGTGTGGAGATTTGGGGAAACACGTATAAAACCAACCTACAGCCGTTATGCACATTACAAAAAAGGGCTATAAGAGTTATCAATAATGTTGGATATCTTAAACACACTAATGTATTCTTTTTGAAGTCACACATATTGAAGTTCATTGATCTGGTTAAATTTAAAACGGGACAAATCATGTACACTACAGAGCAAGACATAATCTACTTCCTATGAAATTAAAAACATTGTTCGTAGACAGAGAGGGTGGGTATAATTTGTGAATATTGTGAAGCAGGCCATTACGCATAATAAGTATACTATTGATATATTTTTTTCCGGTTATTTGAAAGATTTTTGTCATTATTTTTGTATACTTTTTTATCTAAACGCGCCTTAACCAAACCCCTCCTCCCACATCTCTAATAATGAATAGAGATATATTGGAAATATATCTATATTTCTGTTTTATGTTTTATGACTTGATTTAATTATTTTACTTTTCTATTTCTATGTTTCTGTTATGCACATATTGGCCAACCCTAAAGGACATTCCTTATAAGTAAAAACATACTTAAACCAGATTATTATTCCGAAATGTATATTTATATTGTGAATTTAGGATACAAGTTTGGTGAAGTAAAAACAACATCTTATTGGACTGATTGAATTGTCAAACAGTCCTCCACCACTGAAAATGTGTTTTTCTTTTTGTTTCATATCTTGGGTTTATGAGGTTCACTGTGCGGAATCATTTATACTGTTTGACAGAAGGCTGAAGGTTCCTCTGTGCTCACTTCAAATAAGAAGTGCACCTAAAGCATGATCTTTTACTTTTCAGTGAACTCAGAGACATCTTGTGTCCAATGGATACACTTTTTAAATATCCTAATAGCCTTGTATTTTGTTCAATGGGGGAGGGAGGAGAAAGAGGTGTAATTTAAATACTTTTAACTTGGAAATTTAACTTTTTCTTTAGAAAAAAACTTTTTGTAGAAAAGAGTTTCAAATTATGAATTAATGCAGAGTAGGCCTACATTCTTCATGTTTTCAAACATGTCTGGATGGGGACGTTTTGTATATCATGTTTTTATCTTAAAGAACAATACATAATTTTAAAATCATATGTTGAGATAAGACACTCAGTCTGAAAACCAAATTGCATTTTAGTATTGAGACTGAGTGCCATTGCCAATAGTGTTCAACATGAGTTCTGGAATGTTGTCCTTATGTAATTATAATGTTTCTCAAGCTCAGAGTCTGTAGGGAAGTCCGCTACAAGAATGAATGGTCCTTTTTTACTCTGCAAACATAATCTCTAATCCGAGAACCAGTTGTTGATGTTTGCTTCCAAAATGTACAAGGGGCTGACATTGAACCATGTATACAGTCCAGAGTGGTACAAATCTCAGGAAAAATAGCTTTTTGAAACCCAGGATGTTGATGGTGCTATTCTTTCTTTTTTTGCTTATTATGAATATTATGATTATTGCTATTATTATGGGAAAAAATAACTAAATTCCTTACACCTAAGTACTGTGCTTCAGTGGGCTACTTATGTAGGTCCATGTTATGCTCCCTCATACTCAACCACTTTTCTGGGTAAATATTGTACTTTTAATTTACTGCAGTTACTTGATACAGAATTTACTTGGCAGAATTAGATTAATAATTCCAAAAATAAAATCAGCAAATAGGATAAGATGATAGGGGAAAATTAATGAGCTCCCCAGGTGTATATGAAGTCATTCAAATTAGTCCAGCTGCAACAATAAAGTAATATGATGTACACTTAATGATGTACTGTATGGCTTGTCCATCAATCGGAAGGTTGAGGGTTCAATCCCAGCCCTTGCAGGCAATGTCGATGTATCCTTGGGCAAGATACTAACCCTGAGTTGCTCCTGATGGGATGGCCATGGTGGGTGAATGCTATCTTTCTCAAGCAAGTGGCACATTGCTCTGTATGAATGGGTGTGAATGGGTGAATCATGACTTGTAGAATGTGAAGCAGGTCGTAAAGACCTGATAAAGAGCTATACGTATATACACAACAGCTATAAATAGAGATTGACACAGGGTAATAAAAGTGTGATATTGTTTTCATTTGTACACATTCACCAAGCTAGTGGTGACGTCAGAGTGCACACAACCTACGTCCATGCTCTTCAGTCTCTTCGAAAGCCGCATTAGGATCACGAGACAATCACACAAAATACTTTTTGAGAGTGGTAACGTTTGTTTTCTGGATTAGGTCTAAAAGTGGAGTCACTGTGACTCTCAAAATAGCTTTCAATGTGGCTATTTTGGTCGATACGACTGCAAGAAAAGGGACACGTGTGTGTGTGTGTGTGTGTGTGTGTGTGTGTGTGTGTGTGTGTGTGTGTGTGTGTGTGTGTGTGTGTGTGTGTGTGTGTGTGTGTGTGAGATAAGATACAATTATAAATAGCTGCTTTATAATAAAGAAGAAAACACATTGAATAGTAAAAGCATAGCAAAATGGATTTTCAAATAAATTATTGTTCAAATATTTCTAACTATATTTAAATACAACTATTTTGATACACATCTTTGTTAAAATGTAGTTATGTTATTTTTTTATTTGCTTACTTTGGCTTTTTCTTGTTAATTCACTGAGAGAGTTCAGTCGAATTTTTTCCAAAAATAAATAAAAGATTCCTCTAGATAGAATTTGTTTACAGTTTAATAAAATCTATAAATACATTTCTCATATTATCACTTAACAAATACTGAATGTAATAGTGAAGTGATGAGTAACTAAGTATTTGAAAGATGAGACGGTCCAGACTTCCAGTGACGCCGGCAGCAGGTCACGTTGTGAGGCCGTGTCTCGTGACGCCACAGAGGGGCGGGTTATCAACAACAGAGTCGGTCTGTGAAGCTAACTGAGGGAGAGGGCTCGAGTGTTGTTTTGAATTTACGATAAGACACCGACTGGAAAAGGGGGCTAGGGCCTGTGGATAAGATGGCGGATGTAGGAGACGATGAAACTCAGTCGGTTCTCCCTGCGGCATCCCGTAACGGTCCGGCCGTCGGTTCGTCTGCGGGCACCGTGGGCCAGAGCGCAGCTACCATCACGGTAACGTCCGGTCCACGGACCGTGAGGATCGTTAAGTCCGAGTCCGGCTACGGCTTCAACGTCCGCGGTCAAGTCAGCGAAGGAGGACAGCTCCGTAGCATCAACGGGGAACTGTACGCTCCTCTGCAGCATGTCAGCGCCGTCCTGCCCGGAGGCGCGGCAGACCGAGCCGGGATAGCGAAGGGTGACAGGATCCTGGAGGTGTAAGTCAGCCTCTCCTGTTCAATGTATCCAGGTAGTTAGCATGTAAAGCTAGCTACCCAGTTTAGCCCGTGATGGTCCAGTTTCAAACAGTTAACATTAGCTGTCTTCGGGTTAAAGAACACCCATCTGTAATGACAACAAAAGTAACTGTTTACCTAGCTAACTACTTATGTGTCCACTTTAAGAGTGTACGCACATAACGTTTGGTGATGTAGCTACACCAAGCTAACGCTAGTGAGTTAAACAGCTAACCTGCTTACATAAGTTGGACTACAGGCTGTGCATGTTGATTAGCTTTAGCTAGCTGGAGAGCCAGGTAGCTAACGTCTTGTTTAGCTTGCGCTTTGCGCAGTGACTGCTTAAGCGTTGTTATGGACGGAAATTAAATGAGTTTTGTTGACATTGTAATGTCATATGCATAATAGTAGAGATGTGTATGATGTTGACCCGGTTGCAAGACAGTGGATGGCAGTGTTTTCCATCAAATGTAACA